AACAAGACAATAAACACCAGAACGTCGCTGGAGATCCAGACCAGAACTTGGCTGGAGATCCTGTCTAGGCTGCTGATCAACTGAATGCTGTCTCCATGTCATTCCTTCTTCGCCGACTCCGTCCACACCTTTGGGGACCCCTGGACCTGCTGGGGTTGGACCCCAGCATCTGGCACCCGAACAGGGACCCCTAGGTAAGTGCCCCGCACTCGGGACGGATAGGACCCCACCGTAGGAAGAGGGTGGATAGTCTTCGCCGACTCTGTCCACACCTTTGGGGACTCCTGGACCCGCTGGGGTTGGACCCCAGCATCTTGCTTACCTAGGGGTCCCTGTTCGGGCACCATATGATGTTGGTCTCCATGCCCAGCAACTGCCTTGGGATCCCCTCACCAGCTGGCGGGGCGTTGGCATTGATCATGGGGAACCCAGGTTTCTTTTCTAGAGATGGCCCAGCTTACGCCATTGGGTGAGAGACAGATCTATGGTACCAGCCACCATGAGGCTTCAACCTCAGTATGAATAGAGAGCTTAGGTAACAGCTATGGGTAATTGGAAGAGGGACCCCCTTGGAAAAAAGGTCAAGAGAGGTCAATATAGAATGCTTAAGTGCCTTCCCAGGGGACCTTCCACATAGTGGAATGGATTAAATCCTTTTATTTTCTTATTAAATTGCTACCAAATATTTAAAGAATTAAATTGTAAGTTTGTTTGGGATAAATGTACAATATGCTATTGTAAAATATTAAAAATCATTAATGAGCTTTTGTAGAATAATATCATGTAAGGATATTCTTTGCTCTAGGCCATGGCAATTCAATTTTAAACTGGTTGTCAATTTCTATTTGTATAGATGAGCTCTTAGTTATATTTTCTGTATCTCTCCCAGGAGCAAGTAGTGACAGTCCCCTACTTTCTTGCCCCACCCATGTTCCTACTGGATACTATATTAGGCAGGGATCAGCCCACATAAGGGTTCTTACCTATGAAGGGTCAGGAGCATAAGTTTGAAATACTTCTATATTTGCTCTAGGTAATATTACCGTACAGATGATTACTGCTAGCATGGCAAGAAAGACGTTCTCAGGCTTCAGGCGTCTTCTTTACTATGCCCCAGGTGGTCTCCAGGCTATTTGTTGTCTGGCTCATCTTCCTCCTGCTGGGTTATACTTGGAGAACTTCAATTTAAAAAAAATATATTTTTCTTTTATACTAAGTAATTTACAGGTTACTTCTTGGATGTGGATTGATAGTGCCATAAGGCTATGTATATCAAGTCAAAGTTATTAAATATTTATGGTGATTGTACTTATTTTCAGATTTGGTATTTTAATAGCAAATCATTAGATTATCTTATAAATATTAGTGGAAGATACTTCTAAATTTTAAAATTTCTTCTTTTTATTAAATTTAAGATAATATTTTTAAATAATATTTCCTTTTGGCTTATTTGTATATACAGAGGGATTATGGGAAGTCTTCAGTAATTGTTTTAGAAGAATTTACTTTACTAGGATTTAATTGCTTATAAAGATACTGGCTTCTTATGGTAGATACTTTTATTAATGAAGTTAGTAAATTTAGTAAAGTTTTATGCCTGAATTACAAGGTGTAAACACTGCCTATCTCTAGCCTAGTTTAAAATGTAGTAGTGAGGAGCTTTTGTTATTTTAAATTATATCTTAAAATTCTATGGCTGTATTTTAAGAAATTTTAAATAAAATAACTTGTTTTGCCCTTTCTTAGAGGCAAAAACTTAAAATATATATTTATTAACTTTTATTTGATAAAGGTTCCCATGTGATTTTAAGTATATTAAATTGGCTTTATTAAAAAATTCTTTAAGAGAATAGACTTTTTCAGGATTGCTGCAGCAATTCGCGGTCTTTTTTTATTCCAGATGAATTTTTGGAGAGTTTGTTCTAGATCTATGAAGTATGCAGTTGGTATTTTAATGGGAAGTGCGTTGAATTTATAGATTGCTTTCGGTAGTATGGACATTTTAATGATGTTGATTCTACCAATCCATGAACACGGTATGTTCTTCCATCTGTTTATGTCTTCCTCTATATCTTTTTTCAACTCTCAATCAGATAAATGTTGAAATTTTCTTATAATTGTATGATTTCTCCCAATTTATTTAACCAGAACATTAAACTTTTAGCAGGCAAGTTAAATATTTAGCATTTCTCAATCAGTAACACTTTTAAAAATAAACTTTAAAAATACATGACATAATCAATAGATTTAATTCTGTCCTCTAGATTTTTTGTGAGGGAAATTTATGTTAATGTTTTAGCATTTTGTTATTTCAGAATATCTAATTTAATTTAGTAAACTCTCAAAGCCTTGGGCTGCCATTGACTGGAAACAGGTAACCATTAAAATGCAAATTAGTTACATTCTTTCTACTAAGAATGGGAAACTGGGAAGCAAGCCTCTCTTTACAAGTTGCCACTGGTAGGAAATTTATGGCCTACCTGCTCTGTTGGGGGAAGGGAGGCTAGCCCTTCCTCTATTAGAAATTGCTTTAGGAAGCCAGCCTTAAATAAAGGGCGTAGCAGTCTTTTACCTGGGCTACTTAGATTTTTATAATTAGTATATTTTAATAATTCTTGAGATTTAAATCCAATTTATTATTTTAAGGCATATTCTTTAGCAAATTTTTGTAACAGAGACAATTTTACTGAATTTCCTTTTTGGGCTTGAAATTAACTTTTTTTAAATATCTTTTATTAGCATTTAAAAACTGTCCTTTATTATGGAAATGCCAATCCTGCTCCTAGAATCTAGCCAGTATCTTTTTTTCCTTTGGGTTAAATTTTGCCATTTTTCTTAGGAAATAATCAGTCTTGGGTTTTATTTTGTACGTTTGTAAAGAGATTTCAGCTCAAAACTCTATCTAAATGTCCAAAATCGGAGGATGTGTGCATTAGTTGCAAGCCAGTTCTCTCTTTACTCGTGCACAGAAATCCCAGATGCATTTTTAAATTTCAGATCTGGTGACATGTGCACAGACATCCCAGATGTATTTTTAAATCCGGTCCGGTGGCATTTGCTGTGGCTGTATCGGAAATGCAAGGAAATCATCATTTCTTCTCTATGTGGGAGGTTTTTAATCTAATGATATTTTGTTTATTTTAATAAGCAATGGCAGCACCCAGGGCAGATAGAATGTCTCATCTCTATGGATCCAAGGTCCAGCCAGGTACTTCCAGGGGTTGCTCGGAATAGCTCTTGTATCTATTTTGTTTTCTGGGGCAGGCTGGGTGCTGTGCAGCCTGCTGGTCTTGAGACAGCACAGGGACAGGAGGGTAAATAGACAATGCCCCTGTAATTTGCCATGGCTGGGCTGGTCCCTTTTGGTAGTTTCCCGACTGGTGTTGAGGCAAAGAATTTCCCTGGACATCTGTCTTAGATTTACACTTATTTGCCCAATGTTTTCCTTTTTTACATTTAGGGCATAGTGTTGTAATGTACCCTGCGAAGCACAGGCGGACGCCTCAAGAAGTTGAATTAAAGAGTCACATTTATTGCAATCTGGGACTATGAGGGGCCATTCCCAAATCTCATAGCAATAAGATGGTGGCAAAACCAGACTTATATAGGCAAAAATCACAAAGGTATTGATTACATCCCAGGGTTTGGAATGAGGCACCTGGCTTGCAAAAAAAGCAGATTACAAAAGCAGAATTAAGCATGTTAATTATAGTTGCAGGTCTCGGGGTCACTGAATTGACAGAAATACATTATCTAGAGCCCTTGGGTAACCTGGGTTAAACTTAGGCATGTTATCTAAATTACAGTTTTGGGTCTCCGGATCACTGAGTTGATAGAAACACATTATCTAGAGCCCTTC